TGAACCGGATCGGCCCTAAAAGCGTTCCCCCGTACCATCTTGCAACCACCACAACACCCTCAACTTCCTGATCGACAAGTACATGCTCCAGCTTCTTACCGGCCCACTTCTCCCCATCATCATCGTGGCCGACGTCATACAACACCTTGGTCTGAGGCATCAGTGATTTCTGCCGGGAAGGCTTCCTCCATGCCGTGATACGATGTGTTGCTGACTTAAACTCGGGCAAACCTTGTAAAGCGCGAACAGATAGGGTACCGGAGAAAACAGCGATAAATGCTGATTTTTGATCTTCGATAGAGTCGGAGTGGAATATTTCTAATGGTGACGGTGGTGGCGAGGGCGACCGTGCCCGCTTAAGCGACATTCTGTCGTTTGATGCATCTTCGAGAGTTGGAGGAGGCTGAGGTTGAGAGGTGGAGTAGTCTTGAAACAGGGGATGTTTAAGCGAAATCACGTGAGTATTGATTTAAAAAGAAACAACTGCCGACATCGCACTTTGATTCCTCTCAACACCTAGCATCGTCAAACAGCACATGAGATGTTCTAAGGTTCATTTCCAAAAGAAAATTGAAGCGTAGAAACATGGAATCTGGCCAAAAATTAGTATATCCTTAGCCAGTCTGGCTGGAGAGCGTCTTACATTTGGACCCAAGTTCGAAAAAGAAATGTGGTTTTAAGTGGAGTGATGGGGGTTTGAAGGCGATCGATTTTGTAGACCTTGTGGAAGTTCAAGCAGTCAATACGGACTTGGGATAAGTGAGTTGCAGTACGCGCACCAGGTACGCATCAGCATTCCTCCCGCTACATATTTCGGCAAGCGCAATCCATTTTCGGAAAGTTGATTTCATCTCCAAATATTACTTCAATATTTGGATTCAAACGTTTATCATCGAATTAACGGGCTGAATTCTTCGATATCTCTCACACTTTGGTCTATGACACGCTGTCCTCTCATACTGTCCCTTGCATGCTCCATCCTTCACTCAATACGGGTTCCCATCCTCCAGCCCAGCTACAGCACTTCGAAAAAGGCATCACCTAAAAGTAGCAACGTACAATTGACACCGCAATTGGTAAATTTTTATTCCATTTCCTTCTGCCAGTGCCTTCAGTGTAACAGTTCATACTCACAATCAAGTCTAGGGAATCAATCAGTTTCTCAAATCGAGCGACTTAGTATCATCCAGACCTCCAATCATCATGACCCGATACCAAACAATTAACCTAAGTACTCGGGAGTAGGTTGGTTGTATTCTTCTAGCCATCTGCTCCAACTAGGAAATCAACAACACTGCGGATTGCATTCCACAAAACATCCGCATGCGCAAATGTGATTGCGAAAGATGGGATCACATTCTTGACCAATCTGAGGAAGACCACGAAACTGGGGTGTTCAGCTTCTGAAAGATCTTCTTACTACTTCCCGTCCCATCAAAGGCAAATTGGCCGAATTTCAACAGGACGTCAGCAAGAAACTCCGGAAGCAGAATTCGAAACATCGCTGGGACAGATTGACGGATTTCAGGGAGCTCAAGGATGAGTACGAAGGCGACCAGTCCCCTTGTGCTTCCAGTTCCTCAAAAGTGTCAATCTGCATCGCCTCCGACTCATCACCCGATTCATTCTATTTTGAGGAAGGTCATAAGTACTCCAAACACACCACTAAAAAAATCCCCCGAAATCAGAACACCTCTAAGGTGGAAGAAGAAAATTCGTTCCAACATCCATTTCCAAAGAGATCAAAGGGTAAGTCGTAACACCATTTATCTCCTGTACTAGTGGAAATAAATTTATTGATCGGCTCATGAGCATACAGTCAAATCCTTTCCATCCGAAATTTCCCGCGTTTCGAGTCTTTCTAGGGAGCAGCAGACTCGGTCTGGACGAAACGTTAACAGGAAACTGATGTCTGCTCACACTGAAGCTCCTCGCCCTCGTTGTGGAAGCTCTCAACGCCAAAATGTCGATATCAAGTCCGAATGGCGAAGCTCTATCTACGACAACATCACTACCAGGCAGAACATGGCCTTCTCACACCTTCAAATGCTAGTTCTCCCCGTCTATCCTCCACTCAACTGCAAGGCCCATTAGCTCGTGGGATCAGCATTCCCACTTCTTTGGATCCGACTATACCGTTCATACCGACAGGGGTCAGATGATGTGTCCCTCCATCAGCTTGAACTGGAATTAGAGGTGGCCGAGGCTGAGCTGAGGGCCGCTCGGTTGCGGCTCAGGGTCGTTGAGATCAGAAGGAAGCGAAATTACAGATCTTCTAGCACGAGGGAGGAGCCTTGCGTTCTTGATTAAGACCATGGACAGAATTTGGACGGTTCGGCACTGTGAAGTGGTTTTGGGAATCTTTGGTGCCATCTCATCAGTCATGGATTTGCGATGTACGGAGTGCTGGGTCAAAAGAGGTTTGATATCTCTATGCGATCAGGTCAGGAAAGCTTCCTTAGAGGCTTTGACTTGGGATGTATTGGGGAAGTGGTTTGGTGTCTGGAGTCATGAAATAAAATAGCCCAGTCCAACTTTGGAAACTTCCAGCTATGGCTGTTATCTAGAGGACAAATTTATATCTCTTGGTCTTGGAAAGACTTGAATATTTTTCGGGCCTCTTTGATTCCGAGCCGAAAATCGTATTATGTAAGGCGATATGGGATTTTCTAAGCGCCACCAACCTTTCTTCGTATCTCGGTTTCCCATCTTGAGTTTGGATAAGCGTCCTGGTTTAAATGGTCGGTCCCCTTATCCTGTGTTAAAATCGGATTTTCATGACCTCTCATTCGTTCAACTCTATCTCTCAGGCTACAAAAAGTATGTGCCGTCATTTCGTAAATTTTGCTTATTTCATTTGAGCTGGAGCAAGCCTCCAAATTTTACTATAGGGCCAGCGCTGGCAACGACCGGCGTGGAGAAGCGAAATGGGCATTGAAGCGTCATTCAGCCGAACATCATGCACTGGCGAGGGGGAACGTCTTTCTTGAATTTGCACTTCTCTGCTTTTCTTTCCTTCCTTGTCTAATGCCCCCCTTTTGAATAAGTTGCTCTTTATTGCAATTATTTTTGCCATGCCCACCCAACTCTTGTCTTCTTTTGCACCTCAATAGGTATTTTCCTCATTGGAAACGTAGAAGCATCATGGTGAGTTACCAATAACTTTAGCTTTGAAAGTTCGACTGACATTTCTAGCTACTATCCTAACAGATCATTTCCTTCAGATTACGTCTATGTCGCCTGTTCAGGTGATGAATCCATGTCTTGTGCATGCTGAGTGAAGGAGATTAATGCTTATCAAACAGTTCGCCTGACTTGATAACTTCTGTAACTTTTCTCACGCCTTTGATTCAGGTCTCTGTTACTCTCCTGTTGGAGAGTGCACGTTCTATGGCGCTTGCACCGACAAACATGGGAATCGCCCACTGTTTTCAGCATTGCAAAACCAGAGGTAATTGTACTACCTTACATGCATTTTGGACTTTTGTTAACAGACCAACTTCAGAATATTCGGACTCAACTTATGATCAGCTGGTTTCGTGCGGTGGCGACCGGTATAGCTGCTATTCAGATGACAGCACATGCTGCAACGACGATCCCAAAGTGTTCATAGTTGGATCTGCGACCGTCATAAAAGAACTCGCCAGCACAGCTTCATACAGCCCTCCCAATAGAGACGCCTACAGCCACACGCGACACCGCCGGTACAACAAATACCAAATCCAAAGCCACAGGATCCAAAGCAACAAACTCCACCGCAGCAACAACCTCCACATCCGAACCCGAGAAATCTGATTCCCATGTCTCTCATACCATCTCCAAATTAGCTCTCTTACCCAGCGCAATCGCCACAACTCTCTTCTTCCTCGACGCCATCGCCATAGTCTGGTTCCTCGTCAGACGCCGATACCGAAAGAAGCTCGCAGCAGGATCAAACCCACAATCCTTCCCCATGTCCAGCAACAGTTTCGAGAAACTTCCAGATAAGATTCCTCGCTCCGTCGAAGTACCGGCGCCGCTTCATTCTCCTGCTCAGCCATACCAACCACCTGCATATCAGAGCCCGCCACCGCAGCATGAAGCGGTGGAAATGGATTTGTCGTATTACCGCCTAGAAATAATCATTGGGGACAATCGGTTTATGAAGTACCCACTCAGCCGTATAGATTTTGAATTTGCATATTTCATGTTATCATCAGGGCAGATATTGCGTGAAAATTCAGGCTATTTCAAGGGTGTGGGAGGCCTGGCCGCATCACTGAGACAATCGCGTGTTCTGGATTAAAAATGAAGGTTGGGAAGGAGAGCTGATGTTAGGGCGAAAATATATGAACATGCGCCTATTGCCGCTATATTATGGCAGCAAATGGGTCATGAGGTTTCAATATGGGCGATTAAGGTGATAACATGTTCTAGGTGTGTTGGATATCGGGTACTCCTATTTCAAACTAAGGATGGGCCTGGCCGGGGGATGCTCGGCTTATGAGCTTTTATACGAGTTCTCGTTGACACTTGGGCATTCTGGAGAAATTGACTTGTGACTGGCTTTCGTAATTCTGCCCGGGTCCGTCCAGGGCTAGAGTCAGTCTTCCTCAAATTTATGGAGAGTGGGTTTTTGGGGGGGCGGAGAAGAAAGTAATCCTATGAGCTACCCCATTTTAAGTTAGTGGTATTTCGTGACGTATAAAAGTAGAAAAGAAAATGATATCACTCTGTGACGGCCTGATTTTCCTCTGTTCGCTCTCTTACCAGTTCACGGCGCAGTTTCTGTCATCCAAGCTTCACCAGAAATATCAGAGTTGTGAGACTATTTCATCACCTGGAGTCTGAGAGAAACCATTCTGTATCCTGGTGGTCTGAATGTCAAACTTACATAAGGGCGACTTGCAGAGTGAATGTCAATCAACATCCTAACTTGGAAGCAAAAAAGGAACTCCCCGTACAACGATAACTTCATTATTTACTCAATAAAAATGCAAAATTTAAGTCAAAACAAGTGATTCCGCTGCCGGGAATCGAACCCGGGCCCTGTGAGCACTCCTGTTTTGAGAGTCACAAATCCTAACCACTGGACCACAGCGGATGTCCCGCTTACTTGTTGGAGGATTTCGTAAATCTAACAATATATATAGACACAAGTAATAGGGTGGAGAAGAAAGAAAGAGATTAGTTGTGTTGTGTGAGTCGGAGTCATGATAGGGCGGTGTGGAGTCATAACGTCTTAGAAGAGCGAAAGAAGGCGGTGCTTACTGTGAAACCTAAGTGGTTCGCCGATTATAGACATATTGTTCAGCAAGATCAGAATAATAGACTAGGACTAAGGGGAAGAAGAGTATGATATGCTGCGATGAAAGGGTAGTACTCTTTGAAGCCGGTACAGTCACCCATTTAGGCACAAGAAGCAAAGCGTAAAACGAAAACCAACTGATAGTTGGTTGAGAGTTTTCTTTTCCTTGCTCATTTTAGGGTATAGCGAAGGACATGAAGAAACAATAGATCTGGGGAAGTTCAACTACTGAATGATCGTTACAGCCTCGCCATAAGGAGATGAGAAAATTATAATAGGAAGTCATGTCATCATAAAGTTTCAGTCTGATCAAGGTAACAGTATGAAAGTTAAGAAAAGTTCTGCAAAGTTCCGCCCGATAAAATCTTTCTACTACTTATTTTCTCTCCAAGCTGCATGAAAAAAATCACAAAATGACGGGATTGCCACCCTTTCTCTTCCTGCCATTCTTGTTTAAAGTAAAAGACTCGTATCAAAGTTCACAATAGTGGAGACAAGAAATAGTGAAAAGAGAGAAAGAAAGCGAGAAAGAAGAAACAGCATCATTCAGCAACCGGAGTATCCACACGATCCGGTTCCACCTTCGTAGCTGGAGTGAGTCCGAGCAACTTCATTCCATTTTCCAGGACCCTCCGAGTTGCTTCGTACAGCATCGCTTGACCTGGGCTGACGCTCGTATCTTGCCCACTCACATCTTCAATCTCGCCAATTGTTTGTTGTTCGACCACCCTTGCGACCTCTTCTGCTTCAAAGCAAAGCGACAGCTGGTCGATGACGCTAACGAGATAGGTCATAATGGTGGATGGCTCCATGGACTTGAATGCAGCATGAGTGACATCAGGGTATTGGGCTAGGACACGGAGAAGGTTGGCTGGCTCTTCTTCCGCAAGAGATGCAAATTCCTCGTCAGAGAGATCAGGTTGGCCCGGGTGGGTCTTGAGGATAGAACACAATTTTGCATACCAGTATTGCAGCTCTGGACCAGTGCTAAGCTTGAAGGAAGTCATTCCGCTGATGTCAAAAATGTGGTCGTTTGCTCGTCGGGCAGCGAGCTCTTGAGCGAGAAGAGCGGTCATTCCGACAACCGTAGCCGCCTCCTGTGGATCCCCGAGGAGAGCGGCCTTTTCTTCGTCAGCTTCCAGCACACCTAGCATTGCAGTTTCACATTGGTCGAGAATCTCGTGCGGTTGATGACCAGGGCCGAGCTTTTCCGACATCTGTGATACCTCATTGAAGTGAACGTGCTGCAGTTTCCCCGCCAGATCGGACATCTCGAGGAGTTCTAGAATCTTGAAGAGACGCGAGAAGTGAACGTTATGGTCGGCGGCCACGACGAAAATCATCTTGTCGAACTCGAACTTTCGGGATCGTTCCAAGACGGCTGCAAGATCTCTGAGCAGGTAAGTGCTGCCTCCAGCGCGATCTCGAATAATTGCTACGCCAGCTCTCCCTCCGTGTTTCTTCATATCGATGATCCATGCGCCTCCGCTTTCTTCTAATACCCCTTTCTCTTTCAACATTTGCTCGACCTCCGCCATTACGTCTGGGCTGACTTGGGATTCTCCGGAGTACTCGTCGAAACTGATGTTCAGTCGAGCATAGAGCTTAGTGAAGTTGTCGATGTTGACGTCGCGGACACGCTTGAACAATGCAAGAGCCTCCTCATCACCGTCCTCCATCTTTTTAAAGAATGCATTCCGCTCTGCGAACAAGCCCTGGCCCTCAATTTCCGCTGGGTCACCACCTTCATCTCGTAGCTTCCTGCTGGCCACTAGCTCTGGTATGAAGAGTTCGTTTACCTTGTGGTACACGTCAAGAAGGTGTCCAACAGGATCAGCTTGAAATGCTTCTTCCGAGCCAAATTTCTCCCAACCCACCCCCAACAACCCAATAGGCTTTCCCCAGTCACCCAGATAGTTGATCTTTGTGACATCCCAGCCCATAGTTTCATAAATGTTGCTCACGAAAGCTCCGAGGATCGTACTCCGCAAATGCTTCCCCTCAAAGTCCTTGGCGATGTTTGGGGAAGAGAACTCGACGACTACCTTCTTACGGCCACTTTCAGGCGAAGACGGATCCTTGAGGCCGAGTGAGACATCGCTACCGTATCCACCCTTGCGATCATTGATGTAAGGGAGCAAGAGACGGGGAAGTGTATGTGGCATGAGCATAATCCGGAGATGGACGCCTTCTGGAAATGGAAGGAGGAAGAGCGGACATTCATATTCTGAGAACTGTTACGATGATTAGAGACTATTTTAGTTCTTTGGAGAGGTCTTTGTTCACACTAAGAGAGGGATTCATACCTTCTTCATGAGATCAAAAGCTAGCTCACTAGCATTAGCGCCAGGGCTGAGCTTCGGAAGGATAACCGTCAAATCCCCATTGAAAATGTTATTGGGCCATTGAATGGAGTTGTAAGCGACTACGGGGTCGCAGTCGACGAGGCTGCATAGAATGTCTGCGAGATAGGAGCGGCAGATGTCGAGAGGGCTTTTCAGTACATCGGATGACGGAAAGGGTGGGATGGGAGTCTTCAAATCCAAACCTCCAAGAAGTCCCTCAAGCTCGGCTACGGTCGAAGTTGCCATCTTTAGTGAGCTTGCTAGCTACGAGCAGCCTTCAGGTATGAGGTTGAACACTGTGAGTCGAACGATTCAAGCGTCTCAACCGAATGATGTTATCGAGGTGACAAACTTGTCATCTGATATCGTGCAGTAGGGCGTAGGACGACCATTTCTCTAGCGTGTGACGCCCTTTAAGTGACCTTGTGAAGTCTTTTTCTCAGCCTCGTCCAAATGTGGCATGCCACGCTGTCTATGCAACGAGGCCTCGTGGTGGGCGCGGATTGGTTATGTCATGCCGCAGATGCATCAATACCTCGGAATGATGAAAGCATCTCATCCACCTTGGAGTGTATCCTTGTCATTCCAAGGACTTCGTTCGTCACTGAGCAGCCTGTAAACCCCATTGTGCGGATAAATTCCTTGCCTATTCCATGCACTGCGGAAATCGCTTCCTGTGTATCAAAACGCGCCAAGAGTAAAGATAACCAATCAGAGGCTGTAATATTACAAGTTTGGAAAATCAAAACGAGAACCTCAACAATTTAGCTTTAAATTGCACCACCACAATAAGAGATATACCACCTAGAAAGCGGAAAGAGGTAGAAAGGATTAACTATTTTATATTATCAACTTAGTATTTAAGGGAATTTAGGGTTTCCGCAGTTCAAAATAGCTGACTAAGCAGGCAGCGATTTCCGCATGAATGGGCCAAGCGAATACACGCCTAAAAACCACCAAAACTCACTATCTTCACCAATATATATAATTAGTTCTCTGTAATTAAAATTTCTAGCTTTCCAGAATGTTATAAAAGATCAATAATTCTTTTAGTTTAGTATAGACTTTTTAATAAATCAATTTTATAATAGTTTAGGAAGATATTAAGGATAAAAAAGATTATATATTTAGATCTTTTACTATTAAATATATATTTTAGATAAGTTAATGAGTTTCTTATTTTAATGTCTTTTAATTCTATTTTATATTTTAAAATATTTTTTATTAATTATTTAAAAGAATTGTAGTCGTTACTTTCATACACGAAATATTTGTGGAGTTCTTGGTAAGTGGAACGGACTTTTAGCGTAGAACTGTACCAGCCTTACGATACCTGGCGATTGTTCTATTCCTTTCCTAAGGGGAATCGCTACGCCTTGAGTTCGTTATTAAAACACCCTTGAGAACATTGGAATAAGAATCTTGACTTGTGGATCATCTCGCAGTCAACAGGTTTGATGAAGCAGTTACAGGATAATGCAGCGTCCGCAGGGCGTGGAAAAAGTCGAAGCTTATTGGACGGACGTATCTACACTGGAAAATTTTCGTGATATGTTTTGTACTTACCCAACGGCTGCTAGCAAGTGAATGGGGATAAAAGAGCTGAGATGTTAGGAGAGAACAGATTGCCCTGGAGTTGTCACGATAATTGAATTGCGTTTTACATGTTCCACAATCTCTACTGGTCCGCCCTTGCGAGAGTAGCAACATTTGTAGAGCTTGTTGCGGGTTGGTTTTCCGCTTCGATGACTGCTTGCAGACCGGTGCTCTAGGTGATGAACTCTGTATATTTTCATATTATAGGGCTTGATGGTGGTTTGTGCTCGTTCGAAACTCATCCGGAGAGATTATCAAGCTCTATTTCCTCCTCATCTACTAGGTAATTAGAATCGCCATAGTCATCACTTAGCAAAAGAACTGTTAGACTTACATGGAAGTGGACCTGGATATTCCGATTGTTTTACCGTAGCCCAGGCAGTAATGTTCTTCCACCATTCGAATCGACGTGCTAATAGACGTAAAGAGTGACGTAGGATGACAAACAGCCTCATAATGAGGATGAAAATGCTAATTGAGATGAAAAAATTCTTCGTATTCCTTTTGAAAGACATTACCGGCTCCTGCGTGCTGAAATAGGCAGTAACTATCGCAACAGGAGTTATAATCTATAGACTGTTAGCTGCTAAGAAGAGCATTTTATCCAAATAAACAGACCGTGAGTGTGAGTTCTGCCGTAAATCCGTTATACTGTGCTATTTCATTGCTTGCGACGTTCAAATCATTACTTTGGCGACTCAAATAGTTGCTTTGGCGGTTCAAATGGTTGCTTTGGATAGTCAATTCATTGCTCCGGCGGCTCAACCGGTGGCTTTCGATGTTCAATTGATTGCTCTGGAGGTTTAGTTGATTGCTTTCCAGATTCACACAATGGCCTTCGAGGTTCAAGTGAAA